GAAGAAACGAAACCGACAACGAACATCACCCCAGCGCACCCTCCAACCCGCTGGCTAAGGTTTCCGCGTCGTCGTCGTCGTTGACGGGAGCGACAGACGTCTCGCGGTCCTCTGGCTACATGGAAATCCCATACTCGTACGTTACATGGTACAGTTCAAGGTGCCACCCGGAAGTATAAAGGTGGAGTTGGACCGATCTTCTTGGTTGGTAACGCGCGATCGTTTGTCGACGGTCCGAAGACTATTAATCAAGAGTGTCCAAACTAGAGTCTCCAAACGGTAGAAGATAAGACATAAACGTTTCCATCTGTCGAAATATTAGGTGTATATATTCGATGATGTTGAAGATAGAAACAATTAATGTTACGGACTTTCGAGATGTATTATAAATATTAAGTCACGTGCCTAGGTTGCCCTGGGTATCCGTACCGAGCCACGCAATTTGCACTTGTTACCGTCAACGCAGCGTGCGCTCGAGCGAGCTGCTTTATTAAACTCGCGGAAACTGTTTCATTTAAAATTACATCCGGATTAGTCGGAGCTAAGTGACTGGCCGGGGGGCATCCGAATCAGAATGCACAGGCCGGGCTAAACTCCTGCCGCGCAACTTCATCGTTTCCGTGGATCGGGAATATGTACACCGGCGAACGAACCCGAGACCGTTCCTATTCCGTTACACGGTTAATTATCCTCGACTGGTTGCGAGTTTCCGGTGGTTCGATGCCCCTTCGCAGACCTGAGCTTCTTGCTACGGACGGCTTCACATAACGTATATGTATACAGTCCTAATAATTGATCTCCGCGTACCGTAAACGGTAAGAACGATAATCGAATTTATTGTCAATTAGAGCGATTATTCGGTGCGAAAGGACAATGGTAGAAATTGGCCAATTTTGGACCTGGCTGGATTATCATCCGAAGAAGACAACGACGACCAATCAGGAGAGGTTTACTAACGACTACATTCCGAACTTTGCGCTTATTTTTTATAACTTTCCCATCGTTTCCAGGGCAAATAATTATAAATTTTTGATTGCTTAGAATCTGTAGAAACATATCCTGTAAAAAACTTTCGTTGCCAGCCACGTCTAAAATTGGCCAATTTCTTGCTTAACTTAACCTACTACCTACTTACGTATGGTCTACAATAATTTCGCATAGACAATTCAATAAAAATTTCTTTCGAAAGAGATCATAACATCGCAGAATGTAGTAAGTTTCAAATGAAAGATCTCGGTACGCTTTAGAGAAGAGATTCCATTTAGCGAAGGAAATCATGGTATAACGCCACGGGTTAATACCTCTCGGACCGTCGTCCTGTGAAACGTCAAGCGTCGTTCTATCAATCCTGCTTCGTCAGTTCGATTATCCTCCGTGTCAATCGCCGCGATCTACGAGCGTTTATGCGTCTGTCCAACCGGGGGTAGGTATCTCTCTCTCTGATTGGCTGTAAATAATCGCTGGGCCGTCACGCCCGGATCTTCGCTCGTCCATCATTCCGTGGGCATTCAAGATATTAGATTGATTCGACGAGTGTCTACCATTCTGTGCTGCCAACTTTTCAAATAAGTTAGTACGAAACCCGCGGTCCTCGGTTCGGAGACATTGATAAGAATGGTCAAACGAGCCGCGAGTGCCATTAATTGGTATGTGTCACGCGAAGTGGTGGATCATTTAGTAGGAGAGAGCGGGTAGGTTCGAGTCGTGGGAGGTTTGGGTCAGTTAGTATATTTCCATCCTTGTTACTCATACCTTATTCTACGACGCAGTTGTGTTTCCATAGCAGCGATCGTTATGCAAATGTATTGTTTCATCGCGCCGCGTATTGAGGATGCGAGTTCGTAATAGCCGATACTAAGAACCGTCCGTAAAGAAAAATTTTAAACAACTTGTTAAACGAAGACACGAAACGTTCCATCCGTAAAGCTGGGTAATAAAATTCCGAATTGAGCCATGAACAGTTTTCTACTCCTTTACCGCGAGTATTGTAGTATTCCTAAAACTTAAGAGATCCTTCTGACTGCTCTATGTATCATGCATGGTTAAAATAAATCATACAACATAAACAAAAAGAGTCAGATTCCGTGGAAAATATCAAAAGCAAAATATCGATCCTCTATCTACACAAAATTTTGAGAAATTATTTCATTTCAAACCGAATCTTCACCCTCTACATTCAACCTTTTAATGCGTCCGTACAATCACATACATATGCACGTGTATCTAGAGGGATGGAAGAGGTTTGCTAACAATTTGTCGAAGCTCCGCTTCCATCACGCGAGTTCCCCAAACAAAGTCACACGGAATCGTGATTAGGGAAGATGAACGACACTATTTCGTTATGAGATTATAATCGTCCTCGCGTACCTACATTGTTCCCGCGGTACTTCGTGTCGATAAAGCCATTAGGGTTTGCGTGACTATCTTCAATGACACCTATTATTCATGTTATTAGCGGGCGGGCCCGGTTCAGCTGCGCCGAAACTCGTCGCGGTCGATTCACCGCAGTATACCTATGGCTGAATTATTTTTCGACGATATTTTGCCCCCGTGTACACCCCCGAGCAAACTCTGCTTCCGCTAAGGAAAAAAGTGGCGTAGGGACAAGCCCTTGTACCATTTGTATTCGGAAGTTTCTGAATTTTATTCCAAATTACCATGCATTTTTACATTTATTTCAGTACTTCAAATAAATTTACCAAGTGCTAGGAGGCCCTTATCCTACGTTACTTTTTCCCCTAGCGGAAGTAGAGTTTGCTCGTCGGTGTACACTAGTTAATCTAGGTCACGTGTTACGAGAAAAATCGTAAAAACCGGTTCATTGGAACACCCTCTGTGGCGCGGCTAAAACGATTCAAGGTTAATACCTGAAATTTCAGATTGCGTATCGGAAACGAGGTTGTACAGATACACGGTGTACCGTGCACGTATAATAAAACCGGAAACAGCTCGACGTGTTTTCGCGTTTCAACGGTATCGCCCAGGGAAAAACTCGGAGAGTCTAACGTTGCGGCCGCGCTGCGTGTAATACGGCTGGTAAAGTACACACCGGGGCCCCGGGACCGGGATGCGTTAATATCGTTAATTAAAACCGCTATATGCTGGTTGGGATACGCGTCGTTATTTGCGTGTCGACGGTAATAACGGGGCGGGACATGGTCGGAGAGGATACGCTGGCATTAAAATTGAGACAGCAAGTCGGACACGGTACTTTTTTTGGGCGATCATAATTGCCTTGATCCAACAGACATTTTTAGGAGATCATAATTGGAGGGATTTCCCGCGAACGAGATGTTGCCTTGATCCAACGGACAATTTGTCAAGTAATGGTTTAATGATAGAGTCTGAAACATAACAGTATCGATTGGAAGTTACTTTCTTGTATAAAAATTTTTGATTCTCATAATATTTGCTCCTACCGAAATAATACTTTCCTCTCACATTTTATTGTATATATTAAAAACAAGTGAGATATTTAAAGTGCTCACTTTAGGTGGGACACCCTGTATAGCACCTTTGTGACGACAGTGACAATTAAAAAACCGTGTTTGCCACTATGAGAAAGTTGCAGAAACATTGTTCGAGCAATCGTCAGAAGTATAATCTTTTAGCTTCGCGAGTTGGCTGACAGAGAGCAGTTTTCTTACTGTTCTGAGCGAACCGGTGATTTGTGAGGGTCCTTTAAATTTTCTCGAGAGACTAATATTCTCGAGTTGTGTGTCACTATTGCAGCAAAAGCGCAATACCTTAAAGGTGGCGTTCTCCCATTTTCCTGAAATTGTATATTGGATATTTGTGAACTTCCGTGAAAGTGTCAAATATATCATCCCTTGAATGGGGAGGTTTTTTTCTTCTTCATTTTCCGACGTCGAATTACCACTCCACGTGACAAAAATACGAACTTCACGTTCATCCAGTCGAGAAATACCGCACAGATTCCGTGGGGGGATCGGAAATGTTTATAAATTAGCCCGGGCAGCGATTCGAAGCGATTTTCGAAGCGGCCTGCAAGAAATAGCGCGGGCGGATAGGGTTGGAAACGGGGCGTATAGGTTTAGCGCGCGAGGGAGGGCGAACGATAGATAGAGAGAGGAAAAATAGAAGCAACGGTACGGGAAACCAATATCATGCCAACGAAATCGATACCGACTAAATAAATATTGTTCGAGGGGCTGCCGAATTGACAGTGAGTCCCGTCGAGTGCACGAATGGAATATTTATTCCGCGGAACTGGAAAATGAAAGCAACGTCGAGGGGAACCTGCCACTGATGTTGTATCTTATAACGATAAATCGTGTCATCGGTGTGCTCAAACACGGTCCCCACGATAGAGCTGTACGATACGGATAAGCTTATCGATATATGTCGATAAATATCCGTAACGTGGTTGACCGGCTGGCATTGTTTCATTTGAATCACTAATAATAGCGACACGATAAGATAGAATAAGATGGAAGGAAATACTAGCTATGATAAACTTTCGATCAGTCGGATCATTAGTGAAATTGCATGATAGAACATATTCCATGGTCTGATCACTTCAACGATACGAAATAAGTGCAGAGGTGTTTCGATAATTGTTAATATTTCTTTGGGTAGTTTGACTGTGTTCTGGACACCTCCAACTTTTTTTAGTTTAGTCCTGGAATATCTACATTCTGTTAAGTTAAAGCGATACCCACTATATATTTATCCCATCTACTGTTCATTACTTGTTCATCGACCCCTAGAAATTGTATTCCGGTAACACCTATACGCTTCCGTTCAAAGTGCCTTGCATAATACCTCGATAATAAGATAGTGCAAGGAAATGCAGCGGTTGATGTATTATGATACGGTGTTACAGGAACTGTTGTAAGGTTAATTGCTCCCCCTCAAAATCGATATTACCGCTGATACTATCGATAAAACGATATTTCACGTAAGAACGGAGCATAATCTCCGGGATCACGTTGCAGAAGTCAAGTTCGGCGCTAAAGTTTCGGCATACGGTTACTCACCTTATAACATATCGCTCCTCCCGACCACGTACGGATGCACTCCAGTCTTCGTACAGTTCTGGAACAGAAAGAAACTGTATTAATCGTGATCGTACTTCTGTTATATACGCGACAAACAAATCGATAAGATTACTGATCAGCTGAAATTATGCGCGATGAAATTGCACGGTTTGTTTAATCGTACGCGTTTTTTCTGTTCACCGTCTGTAATTGATCATTTTCGCGGACGATGTCCTCGTTTTATTTGATACCCGATATATCGATTCATCCGTCCGATTCTTTCATTGTTTGTCCCCTCGCGGGAGAACTAAATGGATACGATTCGGAACTAACTCGACGCGAAGTCATTGAATGTTCGATACTTTTTAATACCGATCGGGGGCTTGCGAATCGGTTTTATCTCGAGTACAAAGGCTCGAATCTTCTCTTCATCGGTGTGCCCATCGATCTGCCACCGGGAAATTTTGCGAAAAGGATGAATCAGAACAAACGCTCGACGACTGGGGAATTGAAACATTGCAATTACTCGTAGTAATTGCATACCACTGCTAACTTAAAACATTAAAATAATGGGATAAACAATTTAGTAATTTCGAGCATGGTATGAAAGAAAACGAATTCAATAGAAAACACGATTAGATACTTTCACGATTGGATACTTCGTGTCCGCTTGTACATGTTATTCGGTCACCTCACGTATTTTGTGTATTTTCTAATTTACATACCTCGAAAATTTCGCCGCTGATAATTCTTCCACTTTTTCACAATAAACAGTTTTTAATATTTATTAATGTAAAATACCCGAAAATACAATAAACAGGAGACGAAGCAAACATAATATTCAACGTAGAAGTAACTCAAGCACATCCGCTCCGCTCGAAGTTTCGTACAAAACTGAACCAATAGCACCGAATGCTTTCAATAACTATATTACTAAATTCCTTTCTTCCGTTCAAACAATACAACATGCTGTAGTCTCAAATAGAAGGAGGAAGTTAAAATCGGTTAAAGGGTCTTAAATAACGATCACTGGTGGACAGCTACCTGAGTACCTCGGTCATGAAACAGTATGGAACTTTTCACTAGGTTAAAAAAATATTACTCTGCTAAATATTTTTTATATTGTCGTCGGTACGTCAGTTGGAATTTCTCTTCATTCCCGTTTCAGCGAAAGCTTCCCTTTCACGGAAGCCATTTCTTTCAAAGACATCTTGTACACATTACATTACCCGAATGCTTACGAACAGTTTGAAAGCGAAGGTAGAATGGAAAGAACTGCTACGTAATGTATACCAACACACCCCCTTTCCTATTGGACGATCTATCGTTTCGTGGTTTTCGTCGGATCGCGAAGGACGCTCCGTCCCCGGCACCGAAAATATTCTTTAGCGAACACACACACACACACATCGACGGAAGTATCTTCCCCCGGACCGGAACAATACCCCCCCTCCCCTATAAAACACAACAATAGCCGCGTTTCACCTCGTTCGGATTATTACGATGTGCGAGCATCCCAAGCGTGCCTCGGGCGGGATCTAGGAAAACATTTTAAGCGGCGACAACCGAGGGAGGAATGGCGAACTCTTTGACAAGGTATTTTCCCATCGTGAACGAACTGAGTTACGCACACCGTACGACTATGTCCATAAAATGACCGTGGTTGTTACGGTGACATTCAATTTTGCTCCAGTTTTTTAAGGCTGGCTTCACGTGAATCGACGTCTCTTTTTTTTTGTTTGGAAAATAGTTTGCGTGGAGACCTAGCTCTATTACGAGCTTGTCCGACGGATTTAATAATATTTTTTTCGCACTTAAATTCATGGTAATTGCATCTTTAGAATATTGGAAAGACCGAATATGTTGATATTGGAGGAGTTATAAAGCAGAATTGTTCTAGAAATATCATTTCATGTCGAGGCATAGAAAAACCTATAAATAAAGCTTATGTAGAGGTATGAAAATAGTAATTGAATAGAATGTTTAAAGATTCGTCTTAGGTATTATTATAGTCCCGTGAACCATTTCTCCGATCTTTTTCACGCACTTTCTGCATATAAATCCCCACATATGCCTTCCCTATAATAGAATGTCAAAGGATCCTCAGTCACTAGAACCACTTCCACCACCCAAGGTTCAATTTTCGTCTTTTGTCAAAGCTAATTAAGTTTCGCGGAAGCGTGAAATCGAAATTGCAGTGAATTCCAGTCAGATGTCGATGAAACTACAAATAAAGTGCAGGTCTGATCTTCACGTAAATGAAGAAGCTATCAAATATAGACATATTCTCACACATGCTGATGTAATGCATTTTTAACGATTGCTTCGTGTATTTATAGCATTGAAACTTAACTGGACCACTTCGTTTCTGGTTTTTGAAGAGCCTGGCAGATGTGCCAATGTGCCATAAGAATACCCAATCAACAACACGGTAAGTCTGCATCGACACAATGCGTTGTTCACGCCAGGAACGTCTACGTACGAGGGATCATCCCCGGAAGCGGCGAGGACTCGCGAGACGGACGATTTATATTCCAATTCAGTGGGACTTGAAAAATTTCGAGACGAGTTATGTTCACAATCACGACGCCCAGAGTCATATGTCTTGAACGCCGAGGGGAGGTCTGAAGTTCTTCCCCCCCTACCCTGGCCCTCTTCACTGGTGGAGACTTATAGGAGCGCCGTGGAGATGGGCAGCTTGCCAAAAGGCTGTAACGTTGATACGAAACCGAAAGAGAACCATGTATCATAGGTGACTCGATTGTAATACGTAAGTGGCGAGTGCTTCGACCCGAACGACACACGCTGCTTTCTTGTGCATGCGACCGTGAATGCTCGGGTCAGCGTTAAAAATGGCCTCGCGTTCGGTGTCGAGTGACAAAATGGACCTGGAGTGCAACAATAAATACAAATGGAACGCTTGCGTTGCTCGAATATCGTATGCATTGTGCAGTTAACGCAGGAAGTTCTCCATATTTCACTTGAAATTTCTGTACAACTGATTGCGAGTGTAACGTTGATTCGATTGACTGTGATATAACAAATGAGGGTAGGAATTCATCGCTTGTTTATGAGACTTTTGATGGCTTTGAGAAATACATTGGGTGAGGTTATAAACAACTTTCGTCATATAGTAATAGTTATCGATGTACCAAAAATGAATGGCCCTTTGAACACTTTTAGATTACTGTAATCTAAGCATGTACAATTTCTTCAGCTGTTTTCATAGGGTGACGGAGACTAGAATTTCTGGAAATAAATTAAATTGTACTGATCAGAATTTTTATTCATACATGTAAACGAATTGTCGTTCATTTATTTCCCACCAGCTGAGTAGCTCAGAATTAATTACCAACTATTGTAAATTAAAATGACACAAAAACGTGTAAAAAATTTTAAATAAATACCTCTTTAATACTATAACACAACATGATACGAGTTCACGAATACCGACTCTCGACCTTATATCCCCGGTTCCGCAATAACTCCGGCGGTCGCTTAGGAAGTCCTCGGTTCCCCGGCCGTCCCAGAACAGCCGAAGCATTCGTGGAAAATTATGTCAGCCCATTCTCGCCCAGGGGCACGAAGGGGTCGTTAAAATAAGACAATAAAAAAGAAGAAGAAGAGAAAACACGCGTTCATCGATCGACGGTAACAACACCCTCTCTTAAAGAGAGGGTCTCGCGTTAGGGGAGGTTTCTGCAGTTAACTCCGTGAAATTATGCGGATGTAAATTAGAGGGGAAAAAGGCGAAGAGGTATACGTATATATTCGGATCGGTCGCGACAGAGGGGTGTGGGGATAGAACGAAGGAAACCGGCTAACCGAGGTTTAAGTGCAGACTGCCATAATTTCTGGTTTACGAAACGGCGAAAATACTCGCGCGCGGAAATCCGTCGCGAGGGTTGTGTTCGCTGGAGGGTGGGAGTCAGGTGTGCTCGATATTGCCGGACCAGGAGGTAGAGGGAGGGGGAAGTCGAGAAAAAAGGATCGAAGGAAAAAGATCGCCAGAGAAACGCTCGTCGGCGAAATAAGAAAAGTTGGCTGCTAAAGGCGGAGGGGGGGTTGGGGGGGGGGTCGAAATAGAATAAAAGATGAACGAATGTGCAAATTTGAAGGCGATCGCCCCGGCGTCAGGTGCTCCGTGGAAATATACAATTCTCATGAATGAGGGCGGTGAGCTACAGCAGCAGTTGCAACCCAAGGTGGAACAGAGATACGACGGGGCTACGTCGTTGCAGCTGCGGCTG